TCGTCCTCCACAGCTCGTCCTCCACAGCTCCTCCTCCACAGCTCCTCCTCCACAGCTCGTCCTCCACAGCTCGTCCTCCACAGCTCGTCCTCCACAGCTCGTCCTCCACAGCTCCTCCTCCACAGCTCGTCCTCCACAGCTCGTCCTCCACAGCTCGTCCTCCACAGCTCGTCCTCCACAGCTCGTCCTCCACAGCTCGTCCTCCACAGCTCGTCCTCCACAGCTCCTCCTCCACAGCTCGTCCTCCACAGCTCGTCCTCCACAGCTCGTCCTCCACAGCTCGTCCTCCACAGCTCGTCCTCCACAGCTCGTCCTCCACAGCTCGTCCTCCACAGCTCGTCCTCCACAGCTCGTCCTCCACAGCTCCTCCTCCACAGCTCCTCCTCCACAGCTCGTCCTCCACAGCTCGTCCTCCACAGCTCGTCCTCCACAGCTCGTCCTCCACAGCTCGTCCTCCACAGCTCGTCCTCCACAGCTCGTCCTCCACAGCTCGTCCTCCACAGCTCGTCCTCCACAGCTCGTCCTCCACAGCTCGTCCTCCACAGCTCGTCCTCCACAGCTCGTCCTCCACAGCTCGTCCTCCACAGCTCGTCCTCCACAGCTCGTCCTCCACAGCTCGTCCTCCACAGCTCGTCCTCCACAGCTCGTCCTCCACAGCTCGTCCTCCACAGCTCGTCCTCCACAGCTCGTCCTCCACAGCTCGTCCTCCACAGCTCGTCCTCCACAGCTCGTCCTCCACAGCTCGTCCTCCACAGCTCGTCCTCCACAGCTCGTCCTCCACAGCTCGTCCTCCACAGTTCGTCCTCCACAGCTCCTCCTCCACAGCTCCTCCTCCACAGCTCCTCCTCCACAGCTCGTCCTCCACAGCTCCTCCTCCACAGCTCCTCCTCCACAGCTCCTCCTCCACAGCTCCTCCTCCACAGCTCCTCCTCCACAGCTCGTCCTCCACAGCTCGTCCTCCACAGCTCGTCCTCCACAGCTCGTCCTCCACAGCTCCTCCTCCACAGCTCCTCCTCCACAGCTCCTCCTCCACAGCTCGTCCTCCACAGCTCGTCCTCCACAGCTCGTCCTCCACAGCTCGTCCTCCACAGCTCGTCCTCCACAGCTCGTCCTCCACAGCTCGTCCTCCACAGCTCGTCCTCCACAGCTCGTCCTCCACAGCTCCTCCTCCACAGCTCGTCCTCCACAGCTCCTCCTCCACAGCTCGTCCTCCACAGCTCGTCCTCCACAGCTCGTCCTCCACAGCTCGTCCTCCACAGCTCGTCCTCCACAGCTCCTCCTCCACAGCTCGTCCTCCACAGCTCCTCCTCCACAGCTCGTCCTCCACAGCTCCTCCTCCACAGCTCGTCCTCCACAGCGGAGCCCGTCGTGAACGCGCAGGCTAGTAAACAGGCCCACCGATGACGGCGGATAAAAAGTTATATGGCACATTCACTAATAGGGACTAAACGTCAACAATATGCTTTACATTGACTATGGCCTGCCCATACTTTGACAACAAACTTGGTCCTCAAATCATTATGTATTTTGCAATAGCCTACATGTAACTTTATAACGTTGCACTCTTTCTATAAGTTATAAATAGCTGTTAAGATAACGTTAATATAACGGTAACTAACGTTACAGTATGTAAGTAATTATTCTAGCGATATATAATGCTAGATAAGGTGTGCTAGTACATTATTTCAGCAACATGACAAGCCAGTGAATTAGCAGGTTTTAATTGTTGCTTAGCAGAGTGCGTGATATTTTATCTACATGTTCTGCGGCTAGAGTTTTGACACGAGTCAATGGGCTCTGTGTAATTCTTTCTATTTCGCTTGTTTATCGTCATCAGTCTTTTTCCTTTTACCTCTTTGTTTTATGAGCAGGTGTCACTGGAGAATTGGCAGTTTAGGTTGTTTCTCCGTCATAAGCACAGCTGCAGCTCGCCGGCAATCTGGAGTTTGAACGACGGCTCGCGCTGTGCAAGAGAGGGGTGTGGTCAGCGCGTACACGAGCGTGATTGACACTGCTAAGACACTCCTCCTGGCTCTGATTGGTTGTTTCTGACCGGGAGCGTGTATTTCTTGCAAATGGCAATAGGACCACTGGGAGGAGCCAGAGGAGCTTGATTTTTACACAGATTATCTGTCTCATATTCTACTGTCAGGACATAATGACAGTTTTAGCAAATACATGTTTTCAAAAGTTACCAAGGAGCTTTAAATATTAGCAATATTTAATGTGAGCGGATAAGAGTGCTGTATCGTCTCCTGTGTCCACAAGAGGGCGCAAGCGAGCGCAACAAGCAAATATAAACCAAACAAGCATCGCATCTGTTAATGAAGTGAAATGACATTCACTTTTTAAAGTGCTTTAACTTTTGAAACAATTGTTCTTAAATAAAATATACTTTTTTTTTATGTGCATGCAAGGAAAATAAGGTTACAAAAGTGTATAAAATTGTGTTTGTGCATCAGGAACCTGAGAAAACACTTCAACACACAGCGTAATAAACTACATGAACACACACCAGAAAACTGCCATCCAGAAACACTTCTACTCACTACAGCTACATACTGATCATCATAAACACCAGACCCTCTTGATCTGAGTGAGTGCTGAGCGCTTTCACACACACACACACACACACACACACACACACACACACACACACACACACACACACACACACACACACACACACACACACACACACACACACACACACTCACACGCTGAGCGCTTTCTCACACACACACACACACACACACACACACACACACACACACACACACACACACACACACTCACACGCTGAGCGCTTTCACACACACACACACACACTCACACGCTGAGCGCTTTCACACACACACACACACACACACACTCACACGCTGAGCGCTTACACACACACACACACACTCACTCACTCACTCACACGCTGAGCGCTTTCTCACTCACACACACACACACACACACACACACACTGAGTGCTTTCACACACACACACACACACACACACACACACACACGCTGAGTGCTTTCACACACACACACACACACTCACACGCTGAGCGCTTACACACACACACACACACACTCACACGCTGAGCGCTTACACACACACACACACACTCACTCACTCACTCACACGCTGAGCGCTTTCTCACTCACACACACACACACACACACACTGAGTGCTTTCACACACACACACACACACACACACTGAGTGCTTTCACACACACACACACACACACACGCTGAGTGCTTTCACACACACACACACACTCACACGCTGAGCGCTTACACACACACACACACACACACACTCACACGCTGAGCGCTTTCACACACACACACACACACACACACACACTCACACGCTGAGCGCTTACACACACACACACACACACGCTGAGTCCTTTCACACACACACACACACACTCACTCACTCACACACACAGACACACACACACACACACACACACACACACACACACACACACACACACACACACACACACACACACACACACACACACACACACACACAGATATCCCAGCCTTCCCTGACTCTTTCTTATGTCTAGTGAAGGACACAGTCCCAGCTAACATAAATATGCTCGAAGAATGGTTACGAAAACATTATTTTCCGAATCTTCTTCCCAACGTTCAAAACATTCCCTTTTATCATCCTGCAAACATGGGAACGTTACTTTTGATTGTTCTCTAAACATTGTGGAACAAGTAGCAACATTTAAAAAATGTTAGACAAACAAGTTCCTCAGATGTTAGACAAACTAAAACTTTTAAGAAAAATATTTTGCGCTGCGGCTTTGAGAACATCAGTGAAGACCAGCTAACGTTGAGCGAGCGTTCGGTGAATGTTCCTGGAGAACCCTGTGGGCCTTCCCTGTTCCCTGTGCTCGAACTCGGATAAACGTGTCCACACGGCATGCAATCCTGAGTAATATCCTCAGAGCTTTCCTTCCCACAGTTTTCTCTTTTGTGGATCTTCTCAATCTTCAACGGTGTGTTTCTGCCGCACGAGACATTGTGTTTGAGTCGCACTCATAGACTCACATTACAGCCGGAACACACACCTGATTCCAAGCAATAGTTCACTAAAACTGCAAGTCCTGTGATTTGCAGAACTCTCTCAGGATTCAGTAAAATGTTAGTGTTTCGAAGATGGACGAAGTCTTAAGCGACTTGAGGGAGTAATTGATGGGAGAATTTACACTTTTGGCTGAACTATCCCTTTAATGGTGACATATTACGCCCTTTTCACAAGATGTAATATAAATCTCTGGCGTCCCCAGAATGTGTGTGTGAAATCTCAGCTCAAAATACCAGATCATTTATTATAGCTTGTCAAATTTAAATTTTCACGTTTTCTGTGCACAGATTATAGCACTTAAAAACAGAGAAAGTCAGATTTTCATGATATGACCCCTTTAATTGATAGGGAAGACGTTTCATTGGCAAACCATGTTATATTCTGATGAAAGATTACTATCTAAAAAAGCTAATTTGACTTAATTTTAGAAGAAGACTGTTGGACTGTTTTAATTAGACGGCATATAAGAAGCAAAATGCGAGTTGCGAGTTTAAAACAGTGTAAAGTGTAAAACTACAGGCGAAGACGTGTGTGTGAATGAGTTACTGTAGTGAACGTAAAGACACAACTCCTCCTGAGTGTGTTACAGTCACATAAACTACACACTTCACACACACATAAGGCCTAGTTATGGGACGTCTGGTAGACGTAGCTTGACTGGGTCTCGATGTAGCGCCACTCGTGTGTGTGTGTGTGTGTGTGTGAGTGTGTGTGACGTGACATAACCTCGTGTGTGAGTCACATCCCTGTGTGTTCTCCGTCTGTCTGCCTAACCTCATGTCTCGGTCTTCAGCAGATTCATCAGTGTTTGGATGTGTGTGTGTGTGTGTAACTGGAATCAGTGTTTGGATGTGTGTGAGAGTGATGGTAACTCGTCCCCCCGTGTCCCCAGGCCTGCCGCTGCTGGTGCAGAGGACGATCGCGCGCACCATTATCCTGCAGGAGAGCATCGGGAAGGGCCGCTTCGGGGAGGTGTGGCGGGGCAAGTGGAGGGGAGAGGAGGTGGCCGTGAAGATCTTCTCCTCCAGGGAGGAGCGCTCCTGGTTCCGGGAGGCCGAGATCTACCAGACCGTCATGCTGCGGCACGAGAACATCCTGGGCTTCATCGCCGCGGACAACAAGGGTCAGGGCACCACAGGGCTCCTCATACACCGCTACTGTGTTTACTAGTGCTTTCATTCCAACTTCAGTTTCAGTTGTTGTGGTTTTGTGTGGTTGCATGACACTACAGAAAATAACAAACTCTTATTTTAGCATTATTTAATACTAATATAATATTCATTGATATTTTTTATTCGTTTTTAGTTTCATTAAAATTTTGGTTTGTTTTAATAATTTTTGTGCTTTTGTCTTTTTATTAGTGTTTTTATAATTCTATTTCCCCCCATGTATTTAGCTTTATTTTAATAGCAGTTTGACGTGTCCTGTGTTTGCTGATGTCATCTGTGTTTTCTCGCGGTCAGATAACGGCACCTGGACGCAGCTGTGGCTGGTGTCGGACTACCATGAGCACGGCTCGCTGTTCGACTACCTGAACCGCTACACGGTGACGGTGGAGGGCATGATCAAGCTGTCTCTGTCCACCGCCAGCGGCCTGGCACACCTGCACATGGAGATCGTGGGCACGCAAGGTACCTGTGCTCCTCACTCTCACCTGTGCTCACCCTCACCTGTGTGGTCACCTGTACTCACCCTCACCTGTGCTCACCCTCACCTGTGTTCACCTGTGTGGTCACCTGTGCTCACCCTCACCTGTACTCACCCTCACCTGTGCTCACCCTCACCTGTGTTCACCTGTGTGGTCATCTGTACTCACCCTCACCTGTGTTCACCTGTGTGGTCACCTGTACTCACCCTCACCTGTGTTCACCTGTGTGGTCACCTGTACTCACCCTCACCTGTGTTCACCTGTGTGGTCACCTGTACTCACCCTCACCTGTGTTCACCTGTGTGGTCACCTGTGCTCACCCTCACCTGTGTTCACCTGTGTGGTCACCTGTACTCACCCTCACCTGTGTTCACCTGTGTGGTCACCTGTACTCACCCTCACCTGTGTTCACCTGTGTGGTCACCTGTACTCACCCTCACCTGTGTTCACCTGTGTGGTCACCTGTACTCACCCTCACCTGTGCTCACTCTCACCTGTACTCACCCTCACCTGTGCTCCTCACTCTCACCTGTGCTCACTCTCACCTGTGCTCACCCTCATCTGTACTCACCCTCAGCTGTGCTCCTCACTCTCACCTGTGCTCACCCTCACCTGTGCTCACCCTCACCTGTGTTCACCTGTGTGGTCACCTGTGCTCACCCTCACCTGTGCTCACCCTCACCTGTGCTCACCCTCACCTGTGCTCCTCACCCTCACCTGTGCTCACCCTCACCTGTGTTCACCTGTGTGCTCACCTGTGTGCTCAACTGTGTGGTCACCTGTTCTCACCAACAGAATGAAAGCCTCTTAACAAAGATTGCATCATTTTATAGTTGGGATTAAAAATTGCCGTTTTAATGGGTTTCAATGGGGCCATTTTTCTCCAAAAGGCGCTGAGAGGAACTATTCTGTGTTACTACTGCAAAATAGATTTATTAAAGGAAATGGCGGTGAAATAGTAAAATTCCAATTAAAATACACACCTGTGCCAAATGTTATGCAGTTTGCTTTAATACAGGCAAAGTGATAAAAAAACTAAACTGAAAAAGACAAAAATGTGCATTCCGTCCTCGTGAAGCACAGAGAGAGACGCGAGACTCGAGAACTGACCTGGGCCTCTGTTGGTCATGTTTGAACAGACCTGGGCCTCTGTTGGTCATGTTTGAACAGACCTGGGCCTCTGTTGGTCATGTTTGAACAGACCTGGGCCTCTGTTGGTCATGTTTGAACAGACCTGGGCCTCTGTTGGTCATGTTTAAACAGACCTGGGCCTCTGTTGGTCATGATTGAACAGACCTGGGCCTCTGTTGGTCATGTTTGAACAGACCTGGGCCTCTGTTGGTCATGATTGAACAGACCTGGGCCTCTGTTGGTCATGATTGAACAGACCTGGGCCTCTGTTGGTCATGATTGAACAGACCTGGGCCTCTGTTGGTCATGATTGAACAGACCTGGGCCTCTGTTGGTCATGTTTGAACAGACCTGGGCCTCTGTTGGTCATGTTTGAACAGACCTGGGCCTCTGTTGGTCATGTTTGAACAGACCTGGGCCTCTGTGGGCCATGATTGAACAGACCTGGGCCTCTGTTGGTCATGATTAAACAGACCTGGGCCTCTGTTGGTCATGATTGAACAGACCTGGGCCTCTGTTGGTCATGATTGAACAGACCTAGGCCTCTGTTGGTCATGATTGAACAGACCTGGGCCTCTGTTGGTCATGATTAAACAGACCTGGGCCTCTGTTGGTCATGATTGAACAGACCTGGGCCTCTGTTGGTCATGATTGAACAGACCTGGGCCTCTGTTGGTCATGATTGAACAGACCTGGGCCTCTGTTGGTCATGTTTGAACAGACCTGGGCCTCTGTTGGTCATGATTGAACAGACCTGGGCCTCTGTTGGTCATGATTGAACAGACCTGGGCCTCTGTTGGTCATGATTGAACAGACCTGGGCCTCTGTTGGTCATGATTGAACTGACCTGGGCCTCTGTTGGTCATGATTGAACTGACCTGGGCCTCTGTTGGTCATGATTGAACAGACCTGGGCCTCTGTTGGTCATGTTTAAAAAGACCTGGGCCTCTGTTGGTCATGATTGAACAGACCTAGGCCTCTGTGGGCCATGATTGAACAGACCTGGGCCTCTGTTGGTCATGATTGAACAGACCTGGGCCTCTGTTGGGCATGTTTGAACAGACCTGGGCCTCTGTTGGTCATGATTGAACAGACCTGGGCCTCTGTTGGTCATGTTTGAACAGACCTGGGCCTCTGTGGGCCATGATTGAACAGACCTGGGCCTCTGTTGGTCATGATTGAACAGACCTGGGCCTCTGTTTGTCATGATTGAACAGACCTGGGCCTCTGTTGGTCATATTTGAACAGACCTGGGCCTCTGTTGGTCATGATTGAACAGACCTAGGCCTCTGTGGGCCATGATTGAACAGACCTGGGCCTCTGTTGGTCATGATTGAACAGACCTGGGCCTCTGTTGGTCATGATTGAACAGACCTGGGCCTCTGTTGGTCCTGTTTGAACAGACCTGGGCCTCTGTTGGTCATGATTGAACAGACCTGGGGGCTGTTCCATAAATGAAGCTTAGAAAAGCGGGGATTAAACTCCAAAACCGGACTTGAATGAGCCTAACAAATAAGTTGGGGCTAAAGTGGTTCCATAAAAGGTAATTGAAGTTCACGCAATCTCACTAATTTGATCCAGGTTTATCTAGTCTAGATAATTGCGTGTGCACGCGTTTCTGAAGCAGCCCTAGAGGTCGATCGTGGATCAAATCGATCCACCATCAAACAGCGTATATTTTGTGCTGTTTTATGCGTTTGTGACATGTTTTTTTCCCCCCTCAGTGCAAAAATGACATTTTACAGTTATATTCTCCATCTGTAAATGTTGGAAAGTCGTGCAAATGTATCCATTTTGCTGCTAATCTTCATATTGAACGAGCGCTGCTGCGCGCATGCGCGCCAAATAGGAGCGCAATAATTCTGACTAAAATATACATTTTGCTTGGAAAATTAATATGCGATATTTTATAACTCTAGAAATATCTTCTAATTATAATAATTTCTCTTTAGGATGTTGGATAAGTTGCAGTGAACTTCTAGCTCATTACACTCATTTATTTTATACTTCTAATAAAAAAAAGAAAAGAAATTGAACAGAAGTAGCCTAATTCAGGGAAGATTTTTTTAAAGAAACTAAATATATAAAGATAGATACAAAATATAGTTTTGGGTAAAGGACCTATGCTACTTTATAAAGATGATATATACTTATTTAGAAAGCTGATAATTACAGCTTTTAATGCAATAATTTTTTTGAGAAAGCAAGAATCCCCAGTTTTAAATGAGTGGTTAGATTTAGTTTCTAAAGTACATTATGGAGAGGATAATATTAGATTAAGAACAAATGTATACATTTTGAAAAGATATGTGCAACTCTAAAATCAAAGAATATTCCATAAAATAAAGCGATTATTTCCATTATTTCTAATGGAAATCAGTGTTTGCTTCGCCATCAAGTTTGTGACCGTTTCTGAAAGCTAAGCAGGGTTTGGTTGGATGGATGATAACCCCTTGAAAGTACATTATGGAGAGGATAATATTAGATTAAGAACAAATGTATACATTTTGAAAAGATATGTGCAACTCTAAAATCAAAGAATATTCCATAAAATAAAGGAATATATATTGGCCTACATTAACTACATTTTTATGTAACCTTCCCTTTTATTTCTAGTTATTTGTTATTTTATTTATTTACTTATTTAATATTGAATATTTGATATTTAAATAATATTACTTGAATAACTATTAGGAATTATGTGTCATTCATTATAAGAGTTTGACATATGTGAATGTTATATTTTTATTAATATTTATTTATTGTTTTATTTATATGTATGTGTTGGTATTATGACAAAAGAAAAAAAGTAGAAGGAAAAATAAGGAATATTTATTACGGGAAAATATGATGTCTTTAAAGGACCTGTCCATTTGTTTAATTGTGTTAAATGTGTTTGAATTGAAAGACATAATAAAGTACATAATATATATATATATATATATATATATATATATATAAATATATAAGAGACAGTGTAGAGAAAGAATTCTCTGATAACCGAGGCATTCCTTAATTAAAATGTCTTTATTACAAAAATGACATGTCCTAAACGGACAACTTTAAAACGCCTTATATATGTGTCTATATTGTCTATATTGTAGCCTTATTTAAGTTGATTTTCTGTATACTGTGTATTTATAAAGTCCAATAATGGTATTAGAGACTGTCAGTCAGTGGTAATATCATTGTGTTCTTGTCGGTCAGTGTTGAGGATCTGTGTAACAACTGAGGCTTAGCCTGACAGTTAGCCTGCCCTGGACCAGGCTAGTTTCCCAGCATAAGTTGCCAGGGTAACTGAGTTTGAACTTTTTTAAGTTTGATTTATGAAACCGAATCTACCAAAAATAAGCCTGACTAACCGAAATAAGCCTGGCTTATACTCTAATCTTGGTTTATGGAACAGCCCCCTGGGCCTCTGTGGGCCATGATTGAACAGACCTGGGCCTCTGTTGGTCATGATTGAACAGACCTGGGCCTCTGTTGGTCATGTTTGAACAGACCTGGGCCTCTGTTGGGCATGTTTGAACAGACCTAGGCCTCTGTGGGCCATGATTGAACAGACCTGGGCCTCTGTTGGTCATGATTGAACAGACCTGGGCCTCTGTTGGTCATGTTTGAACAGACCTGGGCCTCTGTTGGTCATGTTTGAACAGACCTGGGCCTCTGTTGGTCATGATTGACCAGACCTAGGCCTCTGTGGGCCATGATTGAACAGACCTGGGCCTCTGTTGGTCATGATTGAACAGACCTGGGCCTCTGTTGGTCATGATTGAACAGACCTGGGCCTCTGTTGGTCATGATTGAACAGACCTGGGCCTCTGTTGGTCATGATTGAACAGACCTGGGCCTCTGTGGGCCATGATTGAACAGACCTGGGCCTCTGTTGGTCATGATTGAACAGACCTGGGCCTCTGTTGGTCATGTTTGAACAGACCTGGGCCTCTGTTGGTCATGATTGAACAGACCTGGGCCTCTGTTGGTCATGTTTGAACAGACCTGGGCCTCTGTGGGCCATGATTGAACAGACCTGGGCCTCTGTTGGTCATGATTGAACAGACCTGGGCCTCTGTTTGTCATGATTGAACAGACCTGGGCCTCTGTTGGTCATGTTTGAACAGACCTGGGCCTCTGTTGGTCATGATTGAACAGACCTAGGCCTCTGTGGGCCATGATTGAACAGACCTGGGCCTCTGTTGGTCATGATTGAACAGACCTGGGCCTCTGTTGGTCATGATTGAACAGACCTGGGCCTCTGTGGGCCATGATTGAACAGACCTGGGCCTCTGTTGGTCATGATTGAACAGACCTAGGCCTCTGTGGGCCATGATTGAACAGACCTGGGCCTCTGTTGGTCATGTTTGAACAGACCTGGGCCTCTGTTGGTCATGATTGAACAGACCTGGGCCTCTGTTGGTCATGATCGAACAGACCTGGGCCTCTGTTGGTCATGTTTGAACAGACCTGGGCCTCTGTGGGCCATGATTGAACAGACCTGGGCCTCTGTTGGTCATTTTTGAACAGACCTGGGCCTCTGTTGGTCATGATTGAACAGACCTGGGCCTCTGTTGGTCATGATTGAACAGACCTGGGCCTCTGTTGGTCATGTTTGATGAGCTCTATATATGTTCGTGATCAGAGTTTATCTGTGAATTAAATCTGTTTGTCACAAAAAGCGATCGTGGCTCTTCCGAAGACTCACTTTATGATCTTTTTCAAGCTTCAAAGTCGTGGTTTGACAAATATCTCTCAGATGTCATCAGAAGTGCTTTCATGAGTGAGGAGAGCGATGGGCTGTTCCTCCTGTAATCTGGTGTTCCTGCGTCTGGTTCCAGGCAAGCCGGCGATCGCCCACCGGGATCTGAAGTCCAAGAACATCCTGGTGAAGAAGAACGGCACGTGTTGCATCGCAGACCTAGGATTGGCCGTTCGCCACGACTCCGCCACCGACACCATCGACATCGCGCCCAATCACAGAGTGGGAACCAAACGGTAATCCTCTTTCTCTCTTCGGCTTCGGCTCTTTGTGTCTTCCCACAATGCATTCACAACCCCAGCAGTGATATGGAGGAAGGCACACAGTCAAAGGTTTGGGATCGGTAAGATTTTTAATGTTTTTAAAAGAAGTCTCTTCTGCTCACCAAGGCTGCGTTTATTTGATCAAAAATAAAAATAAAAATAATTCCAGTGTGAATCAGCTGTTCTCTATGTGAATATACAGTAAAGTGTAATTTATTCCTGTGATCAAAGCTGAATTTTCAGCTTCATTACTCCAGTCTTCAGTGTCACATGATCCTTCAGAAATCACTCTAATATGATCAGTAAATTGACAGTAAAGATATTTTTGTCACAAAATATGCTATTTCAAATCAATGCTGTTCTTTAATAATCATAAATGTTTCTTGAGCATCAGATCATCATATTAGAGTGATTTCTGAAGGATCATGTGACACTGAAGACTGGAGTAATGATGCTGAAAATTCAGCTTTGATCACAGGAATAAATTACACTTTACTGTATATTCACACAGAAAACAGCTGATTTACACTGGAGTAATATTACACTGTTTTTACTGTATTTTTGATCTAATAAACGCAGCTTTGGTGAGCAGAA